AATTATTAATTATTATATAATAATTAATAATGATTAATAAATTAATAATAATCTATGTATCTATGTATTAATCATACAGTAGTTGCCAATGTAAGATGTGTGATACATATCTTCACAAACAACTCTCTTTAAAAAGGGCAGTGTTCCAAATACAGTCTTTCTAGGTGGCTAGTATAAAAGGTTTGTCATTTACATCCTTTTCTTCTGTAGTGGTCTTCTCTGTTCCACCACAAAGACATTACAGATCAGAATTGCCATAGTAGCTTTGCTTTGCATCTACCTTTTCCTTACACAAATCATGATTTTTTTCTTTTCCTCGGTTCAAGCTACCATTTCATGATTTTTTTTAGCCCATGATACTGGTAACAGAATAAAACTCAGTTCAATATTCCTCGACTTTTAAAAGTGTTTTATTTTCTTTTTTTCTTTCTGTCTCTTGTTCTTGCATTGTTTGTTTGTTCTGTAGGTTGTTAGTTTGCTTTTGCTTTCTTTACCAATATCCATGAATTCATGAAGTACTTCGACTTTCCAAAACATTCAAAGTTCATTAATGCAAGTGATTGAAGTGTTTAAGATGTACGGTTGAGAATCAGGTGCATAGTATGCTGCAGAACTTACTACCAAGGAATGCACGTTTCTAATACGTGCTACTACCATGTTCAGTTCTGCAAGGAGTATACAGTAGTACTTAAAGTATGCTAAATTAATGCATTTGCTGATCTTACCAGTGTTTACAGAAGTCATATAAAATTATTTGTGTATCTGTGTAAATTCAGTAAACGCTGAGTTAATAACACTGAGTTGTTAAAGCTGTAAGCTGATAAAATATGCTTTTAGAAAAAAAACAAACAAAAACCTGTTTGTCTTACTGAGCTGTCAGGATGTGCTTAGTTCACTATTAGTAATGAATAAAAGTTCATGGAGACCACCAGAAGCCATCTTCATGTTCTTAAGGTCCTTCTTATAAAAAGTATGTCCTTACGCATCATTCGATTTTCTGAAACATTGCTACTTCAAAGTTAATCTCTGCCACAGAATACTAACAAAGTTAATGTCTGCCATTAGAAGTATACAATCTTTCTGTGGAAGTGGGGAAAAGGTAGGTCTGGAGAATTTAAAACCTTACATCTCGGAAGGAAGTCTTAGGCAGACATACAGATGTTAATGGACCTATGAATTGAGTATCACAGTTGTTTTTCTTTCTTTTTTTCCTCTCAAAATAAGTTGGCTTTGTTTTTAAAAGTGGTGGTAAGGAAGGACAGGAAATATTATGGCCTGCCATAACATTTGTTGCAATAATCATACTGCTTGCTAGCAATTAGACATAACTGCCTGTAGAACTAATATATAATTTCTTCTTGATATGCTTGTGGTGAGTTGTATTATCAACGTTTTCATTTTCTCTGAAGCAAACTAGCTGTCAGCTACTTGTAGGCTGAAGCAGACTGTTAGATCATGTGGCCCAGTAGACTGACTCAGTCTGGCATCTGGTACTGGATGTGATTCAAGAACACTGTCATAGTTTCTGCATAGATTTACACAGTGTACTTCACAATGCTCTCCATCTTATTATTCATACTTGATTTTTTTTCTCAGTCTTTTCCTTTGCAATATGTGTTATTGTTTGTACACATTAAAAAGAATTATGGGATAATGTGCCTTTATCTGCCATTACAGAAAAATAGTCATAGTTTTTTGCACTAACAGAGTTTGCTGCAAGAAATGATTAATTTTACACTTATGGTAGATTTGTCCAATGATCTGATCCTAAAATTGTCTCTGTGTTACTTAGTAGAGAGGATAACAGACTATATTTGAAATGAATCATTTGCATTTTCAAATTGTGGAATTTCAGCATTCAGAATTTACAGAGAAAATGTAATAGTGAAGAAAATTCATATGAATACGCTTGTTTGTACCACAGTCTTAATAAATTTAAGTAATTCTGAAATGTAAACATGTTAGGGGAGTTTCAATAAGATTTTTGTAGTTATGTTCCTGTCTTGCCTGTCTTGTAGTTGTGTTCAATCATAGAATCATAGAATCACCAAGGTTGGAAAAGACCTAAAAGATCATCCAGTCCAACCGTTCACCTATTCCCAATAGCTCCCAAATAGCAAAGCAGGAATTAAAAAAATAAGTACAAATCAGGAAGAAAACTGGAATACCAGAAGAAGACTACTGGTGCACACAGTGTCAGAAAAAATAGTGTATAGCAAAAGTTCCAGATGTTCTTCAGCACAAAATGTGTCTTTTCTCCTAATGCAATACAGTGTGTAGCATATAAAATCAAGATACATTAGTGCATGTTTATTCTTTAGCTTAAACTGCTTTCTTGAAAATTTTAAGCATTCATTGCCAAGACTACTTTCTAGTGCTGTGAAAGTCCCTGTTCATTGATGAAGAGTTGGACTAGATGACCTTTAAATGTCCCTTCCAACTCAAATTCTGTGCTACTGAGTCCAACCAATGCTAGTTCCTCTTTGTCTGTCTTTGCATCTGAATGTTAGTGTTGCATCTCTTTTTATTGCTGGAGAATTTAGTTCAATTTAAATTAAAGCAATCAGCTTCTTAACTACAGTAATTAGATGCTTTGTAATGTTTAATTGCCCCACAAATTGGATAGCTCAATATGGGTTACAAATAAGTATGCTCATTGTCCAGCAACAGCATTTGAGGAGCCTATGACATGGTTTGATGAAATAAACACAATGTGACAAATCCTAGGTAATGCAATTCTGGTTAAATCAAAGAAATGATTTTTAGATTATACCAGCTGAGTGATATTTCTGAAGCACAGTAAACACAACTAAACTACAGAATTGCTCGTGCTACTAGTTGCCAAGTCCAGTAAATTTGAGATTTGCTTGTACTTATATACTACTTTCATTCTTTTAGCAGCCATTGTTTTGATTTCTTCTTGTTATATTTTTTATTTTTTCCCCTATTGGTGGAAAAAAAAATAAGTATAATTATTTCTCTATATTATAAACCTAGCTGGATTTGTTACTAATTGAATGTAAACCCTTCAGCTGGCAGAGAGACTCAGCCGTCTCAGCTTTAGTTCCAGGTCTGATAACTGGATATAGGAGAAGAGTCAATATTCTTTGCATGGTTTCCTGTTTACAAATCCTTGCTTGGATATCATATTCTTCTTCCTCGTGATATTCCTTTGTCCAGGAGTATGGAGCAAGGGGGACATCGTAATAAAGCCCAGACATACTTTGTTTAATACAGTGAAACAACTAAGAAAATGCTGAGGTTCCCTTTATAAAATTACATTTTTTTCTGTGAGCTTTCTCAGCATCTTTTTGATTTATTATTTTGTTTCACTCCATTTGTGTCTGTAAGCCTCTAAAACTGATAACGGAAGAAAAATAGCAAGTTTCAGGTGAACAAGGTATAATGGAACAGCAGGATGCTTGCAAGCCACTTAAATTAAAATGATGAGGAAGAAATAGATATTAATTATCTCAGGCTCCGTTATCTTTCCATTTTACAAGCAGGGATATTTAACTCCCCAGGAAGAAAAGAATTAACTTCCTTTGAATTTTTCCACAGTGAACCAGTGCTCAAGAAGCAAAATGCTTCCTTTCAGACTGGAGAAGTAATTTAAAATCCCATATAGGGGGTAACTAGATGAAAGATCAGAATCCAGTATGTTCACTGAGCAGGAATGATGAAATGAAAAGGTAGACGAAGAAGAGACTATGTTTATGTTCACTCTATCCCACAAACTATGACCTCCTCCACAGTCACAAGGACCTACTTTCAATTTCAAGGCAATAGCTATAAATGTTAATAATTGCCTTTACCTCTTTCTCTGTGGCTTAGCTTCTTGCCCCATTACCAAAACCATTATGTTTTTCAGCAATTCATTCTCTACATAATCTCATTTCATGTCCCATGTTTCCTTTATTGTGTTTCACCTTGGACAGTACATCATGTAAATAAAGCCTATATCCATAATCTGCTTAAAGAGAATTCACTCTTGAAAACACCATTCCAACTTGTGTCCATTATAGCAGATCTCTTTAGACCTCATTAGGTGGGACAAGCAGGTGAGTATTTTAAAAGCTATTTCAGCATCTGCGATGTAACCTTGAATATATATTCAGAACTTCTAGTTGTATTTAAAGTATGAGCATGAATCAGATAAAGACATTGAGAAAGATGTTCATCAGACCATATTTCTACTTCAAAAATGCCTACATTTTCTGTTACAGACAGTGTTACAGTAGACAATGATCAAAAGGACAAACACAAATTCTTGGAGATTTTTAAGTATTTTCTCAAAGTAGAAATAGAGATTTAACATTCAAATAGGCTGGAAAATGTGCAAATTGGTACTGAAGATGAAAATGATTGAGTTAGAACTGACATATTTTTCCAAAAGGGAAGAGCAAGCCTAACTTCAAATTATTCTCTCTGTATCTTAGAAAAAATAGAAATAAATGATCTACTACTTGTGGAAAAGAGGTAGTATTTTTAAATTCTGTTTCATATGTATTATGACGGAAGAGCAGTGTATTGTCCTTTTTAAACCAGGTTTGACTTTGAGTTTGTTTAGCATTTCAACAAGCTGTGTGTGAAATGAAAATGAGCTGATTCTCTTCTACTTCTGTGAAAGCCAAATGCTTGTGAAGGATTTTGACACCCTCTCATGTCATCTCAAATTTGTTTGATGCAATTATTGCTGTTTTTCCATTATTGGTCTTAAGTTTTGGTTTCTAATAAATCTGAAGACCTTTTTCATTGCAGTTTTAGTACTGAGCAGCATTCATGGCAGAAAACAGGTTTGAAATGCTGCCTGTCCTAGATATCAGATAGAGCTAAAAATATTAACATTCTACTTGCATTTTTTGTGGTGCACTTAAAGACATAGGAAATTGGTTCCTGTAACACTTTTTATTTTACATAAGAAAAAAATAATAATTACTTTCAAGCCTGGAAAAAGCAATTAATGTTTCTTTCCTCCCTTTTTTCTTTTTGTTCTCAAGCTTCATTCTGATTTGGACAAGGGAGTGGGCACTGTTAAATATACCCTTTCAGGAGATGGTGCTGGCACTGTTTTTACTATTGATGAGACCACAGGAGACATTCATGCCATAAGGAGCCTAGATCGAGAAGAAAAACCTTTCTACACACTCCGAGCACAGGCTGTGGATGTTGACACCAAGAAGCCACTAGAGCCTGAATCAGAGTTCATCATCAAAGTGCAGGACATTAATGATAATGAGCCAAAGTTTCTGGATGGGCCTTACATTGCCAGCGTACCAGAAATGTCTCCAGTGGGTAAGAAGCTTTAAACTCTTGATAACTAATTGCATAACTCTTGATAACTTAATTGTCTCAATATGCATTTCCTGCTGAGGAAAAAAAGGGAAGGCTGAAATGAAAGTACGTTTTCAAAAAGTTACTGTTAGAAATGTCTCACTCTGTATGTAGAAATATGCATATTGCAGTTTCATTTTTTCGTTTCATTTTTTGCTTTATTTGCTTGTTTAGTAAGTTATTGTCCTACACAAATGAGTCCTTTTAACTTTTGATTCCTGAAGACGTGAGAAGAATAGAAGTGGTACTCATGGCAGATACTGTTTCAGAGATTCTGTACTCTCAGACATGATATTGCATGTGATGAAGTGTGTTCCCTTTTATTCCTAGTTTGTGTTCATTATTTGCTGTGAAACATCATGCCGTTTATTTTTCCTGCCTATGCTGCTGCACAACTAACAGCATTTGCATAATCCCATAGTTATGATATGAGGGAGAATTCTTCATCCTGTTACCTCATAGGTGCTGAAAGTAATGATAGCCCTCACCTGGCAGTCACAATGAAAAACAGAAGTGGGAGAGATCCAGCCAGACTTGGCTGAGGTCTTGAAAACCTATTTAGTCATGATATTTAGTGCACTAGATTCCTAAGCCAGAAAACAAGAACAACAACAACAAAACAGAAGATTGTTTGCAAACATGGTATCCATGTTACTGTGGGAGCAGAGAATTGTAGAATCATATAATTATTTGAGTTGGAAATAGTCTTGAAAAGTTATCTGGTCCAACATCCCTGCAATGAACAGGGGCATCTACACTCAGATTATGTTGTCAAAGCAGAGAATGGCTTGCGGGTAGCCCTGAGGAGAAGGATTTTTGGGGTGTCAGTTGATGAAAGACTCAACATGATCTGTCAAGGTTCACTTGTAATCTAGAAGGCAAACTGTATCCTAAGCTGCATCAAAAGAAGTGTCAACAGCAGATCAAGGAAGGTGATTCTGCCCCTTTTCTCTGCTCTTGAGACTTCACCTGGAGTACTGCTTCCAGTTCTGGGGCCCCAAACACAAGAAGGACATGAAGCTGTTGTAGCAGGTCTAGATGAGGGCCACATAGATGAACAGGGGGCTGGAGCACCTTTCCTATGAGTTAAGGCTGAGAGAGCTGCGTATCTTCAGCCTAGAGAAGGCTCTGAGGAAACCTAATAGCATCTTTCCAACACCAGAAAGGAGATCTTCAAGAAAGCTGAGGAGGAGCTTCCTATAAGGGCATGGAAGTGACAGGACAAGGGAAATAGCTTTAAGCTGGGTGAGGGTAGATTTAGACTAGATGTTGGGAAGAAATTCTTTACTGTAAGGATGGTGAGACACTGGAACTGGTTGTTGAGTGAGGCTGTGGATGCCCCCACCGTGGAAAGATTCAAGACCAGGCTGGATGGGGCTTTGAGCAACCTGGTCTAGTGGGAGGTGTCCCTGACTATAGTAATGGGGTTAGAACTAGATGATCTCAAAGGTCCCTTCCAACTATGGATGTTTGGTAAAACACTAATCATGATTTGATTTTATGGGGAATTCTTTTCAAGGTATGCTGTGCACTATAGCTTTTACCTTGACTAGGAGTTGCAAGACTGAAATGTAAATGACTATTATGCAACCTTCAGACATCTATTTAAAATAAATAGATTTCAGTGTATTCTCCCATGGAAAAACAACAGCAAATGCTATGGCAAGAATACGTCCTCTTGACCTCCACATTATTCTGGCACATTCACTACCTCTAGAAGATTTACACATAACAGTTTATTTTCCTCCATAGCAAAAATTAAAGATGGATGAAAATTGATCAGAAAAGTCTAGTCAAGGAAAAAATACTCTAAATGGAGGCCTAAACTCCAATTAGTGGTTACTAAAGCAGAATAGCAGATTTAGCTGTTGGATTGTCTTACAGCAAAAATACAGAAAAATGCCTTCTATGATGTGCGAGGAGATAGTGCCTTCTCAGATCCAGGTCTTCCCACTTCCATTCACTCTCTTATCACTGCTCCTGCTACGACACACAAGCTCTAAATTTTTGGAGGATTTAGCAGTTACTGCTTCCCATTATCAGTACTATTTAGTTTCACCTATAGAAGTGCGTAGATCTACCACTGTCTGAGGACAACATAGAAAATCACTTTGATTTTTTAGCTAGTGTTTTTTAGCTAGTGCTAGCATATGGTTGCTTTGGCAGAAGTACTAATAAACACATCCTGTTTTTTTTTTTTATACTAAGATTTTTTAGTCATCAGTTTTGAAGTCCCTGATATTTTAAACTTCACTTACTGTATTTTTGCAACAGTGTCTTTTATGAAATGCATGCATACACATTGTTTTCTGTGGAAAACATGCTACATCATGATTCTTTTCCCTCCTTTCTAGTAATTTCTATGACAGGTGATGATGGCCAACAGTTTACTGTTTTTTATTGTTGCATGATACTCACATGCAAAGATTGACTGCATTTTGTAGAAACTTATGCTGGATCATCATAGAATGGCCTAGGTTGAAAAGGACTATAATGATCACCTAGTTTCAACCCCCCTTCTACAGGCAGGGTCACCAACCACTAGACCAGGCTGCCCAGAGTCGCATTCAGCCTGGCCTCAAATGCCTTCAGGGATGGGGTATCCACATCCTCTTGGGCAAACTGTTACAGTGCATCACCACCCTCTGAGTGAAAAACTTCCTCCTAATATCTAACTTAAACCTCCCCTGTCTCAGTTTAAAACCATTCCCCCATGTCCTGTCACCATCCACCCTTGTAAACAGCCATTCCCCCTCCTGTTTATGTGCTCCCTTCAAGTACTGGAAGGCCACAATGAGGTCTCCCCGGAGCCTTCTCTTCTCCAAGCTAAACACGCCCAGTTCTCTCAATCTTTCTTCACAAGGGTGGTGCTTCAGCCCTCTAATCATCTTAGTGGTCCTCTTCTGGACTTGTTCCAAGAGTTCCAAGTGTCTTTCTTGTGCTGGGTGCTCTAGGCCTGGAAGCAGTACTCCAAATGGAGCCTCAGAAGAGCCAAGCAGAGGGGGAGTTAAATGGTAATAATGAGCAGAATATAGACAAAGTTGAGAGAGAACCAGCAAGTAAAATTCTTAAGACAACACCCCCTGTAAACACAGAGTATATATTCCATTTGGACGCTGCAGTAAAGTGACATATGCAAAATACCTTTTAAGTCCCACACTCTGCATTGGTGGAAAAGGAATGTACAGAGCAGGGAACTCTTGTGAAACAAGGTGTCCTTCAGAGCCCTTACACACTGTTTAGAAATTTTCACAGCTACACTGCTCCCAGTTTTATAACATCTATTAATTGCTGTCATTGAAGCTTTGGTAGCTGAAAATACACCTTAGCATTCATTCCCAGATTCAGAACTCTAGTCCTAAATCTATAATAAAATCCTGTACCGTGGTGATAGCAAAAGATATAAAAATTCCTAGGATCCTAATATCAGGTTTTCTGAATATAGATAACATTTAGAGATACTATGAGACATTTGGATACAGCACCTGCATTTTCTAATAACTGTGTTATTGTCTATGCATGTTTTAGGTGAAAATTGGACTTTTTCCATGCAAATTTTCTTTGAGATTATATTAAATTTATTTTACACTGTCTGTAGACCAAGGTTTTTCTTTGATTGGTTTTTGGTTTGTGTGGGTTGTTTGGTTTTTGGTTTGTTTGTTTGTCTTTTCTTTTTGATCAGTAGATAGGTTTTTTCCTCTAATCACTACCACTCCTTAAAAAAAATATTAAGATAGTGCTCATCTTTTAGATTTTTCTGAAGACAAGATAATTTTGGGACTACTATTTCTATTTAATGATGCATTCTTTACTGGGAACCAAATTTCTTCATGTTCTATTTACTCAGAAAAAGCAACATCAGCAGGATGCTTTCTGTGCTTTAAAACTAATTTAAGACACCTGCAAAACAGAATACCTACCTGTTTTACATCAGAAGCAATTAACTTCACACCTTCCACACATGCAGTGTAATCTACTCACCTACAAAAAGGGGATACAAATAGATTTATCACAGATACAAACAAAAGAAGTACTGACTTTAAAAGTGTCTTAGTTACAGACTGCTGTATCATGCAGGCTACTTTACTAATGTATGATTTTTCATTATTTGAGATACTTTTCTAAGAGTCTGTAGTTTATATACTGTAGTGAAAGGATGCTGTTATCTCAGAAGCTGACATTGTTGCTCATATAACCATCGGAGCTGCAGAATACAGGAGCTGGATGACAAAGTATTTATTTCAGAAGGAACAATGATGTTAAGTTCCCTACAGAGAAACTCAGCAGATGGAGTAGACCTGAACACAAATTGCTATTATGTTAACCTGTGCCTAGTTAGGAAACTTACAAGAGCTTAGGGTCTAGACTTTTTTCTTTTTTTTCTTTTTTTTCCTTTATTCTGGTATTGGTTTGATTTAGCCATCTTTATCTGAAAATGTTCTCTTGAAATAATGTGAATGCCAAAATACAGCACAAACTAGAAATGGAAATCTCCATGTATGAAGACTGAGAAGGGGAAGGAAGCTTCTAAATTTGTAAGTTAGAAAAATATGTTGTCTTTAAATATAACTTAATTTTGTTGCTGATTCTGGTGGCTGTACCAGCTTCTTTTGGAGGAGAACTCTTGAGAGAATGCAAATACAGAGCAAGTTTAGATGAAAGTTATCCCATTATTGAAACTTCATGTCCAAGTGAATCAGAACTACAGCATACCAGCATTAACACACACTCAAGGAAAGAGCTAAATATGTGTTTCAAATATAAAGATATATACAGAGATATCTGCATTTCTTTCACTAAATAGGCATTTTAATTGATCATCTTCTTAATGATGTATTACATGTGACTAATTTACAACTTGTGCCACAATTTACTGTTTGTTTTCTAAGGTGCTGCTGTTATTCCTCTATGCTTACAGTTGGGACTATACTAAACTCATTAATTCCCTAAGTTACAGATAC